GAATAGATATGTATATGTTTTTGGCGTTGGAAGCGGCCTTGGCGTTGGGGCACGTGGCTGCGCGTTGGCTGCTGCGCTCGCATATTCAAAATACTTGCATAGCTCAACAGCTACAACAACAAGACATGTTTGCAACTTTCAGCAACTCTGCGATTGCGATCGCGACTCAACCGCAACTGCATCCTGCACATATTCTATGAATAGATCCAGTTTCCGAGCAAGCCAACAAGCCAGCAAGCCAGCCAGCTGGCCACTGCGGTTCGTTTTAATCGCCACCTTACACATGTTGCCCGATTGGCTAATCACTGACATCCGCCCGGGCGGTGGGGCAGGTCCGTAAACCTGTTTAGCCTTTTCTGCCGCTGCTGCTATCATTGTTGTAATAAAAATATTTGTCGATTCTCTCATACAGCAGTCGCAGCAGTCAACAGACCAGACCCAGACCCCACTCGATTGAGAGGCTTTTGTGGTATTTATTGTACTGCCTGCCCATTGGGGAAACTTGACCAAGATTGAAAGTTTATAGTCGCTGATATTTATTCTACAATTTCATTACATATATGAGCAATACTTTCCAAATCGAAATGATGCATATTTTAAGACGAGCCAATCTTTAAGCATGTGTCTGCACATTCAACCGATATTTATTCTACAATTTTATTATATATATGAGCAATATATCGACGAGTCGATCTTCAAGCATGCGTCTGCACATTCAACCGCTCATCTGTCTGTATGAACGGCAAGATCTCGGCAAGTTAAGAAGCTAGTTGAGAACATTTTAATCACACTTCAGGTTAGACAAAAGTGAGTAAATTTTGTTGAAAATAATTGTTGTTTCCTTCATATTTAATTATTTGCTTGCTTTGAAAAACTCTATACATATGCTTACAATAATTATAGAAATTAAAAAAAGTAAGAGAATTAAAAAAAACAAGTAAAAAAGCTAAAGTCGGGTGTCCCGATTTTGAAATACTCTGTACATATGTTTACAATAATTATAGAAAATAAAAAAAATTAAGAAAATTAAAAAAAACAAAATTTTATCGATTTTACCTCTCTCGGTATTCGAACTCACGTAAAGGGTGTATTATTGCACATTTACATAGCAATTCCGTCTGTGTGAGTGTATGTATGCCTATGCGCATCTATTCGTGTCTGTGTAAGCATTTTCGCAGTCAACCAAACAGCAACATCAACAACAGCCGCGGGCAGCGCTTGAGCAGTGCTTGAGCAGCGCTGCAGCAGCAAATATATTTATGGCTATAACTTCTTGTTAAATCGGTCACATAATAAGCAACTGGGGGTATTTCCAAAATATTAGGAGAGGGGGGAGGGAGGGAAATTTCAAAATATACATTTTCTGCGTATTCACACAAGGCATCTTGGACTAAAATTTGGTGTTCCTAGGTCTTATAGTCTCCGAGATATAGGTGATTATACGAATGGAAAATCGGGAAAACCCCCATAGGGGGGAAGTGGGGGGAAAATCAAAAAAATAAAACAAACTCATATAGTGTACATACATAAGGCATCTTTGTGCAAAATTTGGTGTCTCTAGCTCTTATAGTCTCTGAGATCCAGGTGTTCATACGGACGGACAGACTGACAGACGGACAGACAGACAGACAGGGCTAGATCGACTCGTCTCGTCATGCTGATCAAGAATATATATACTTTGTGGGGTCTGCCACGCCTCCTTCTGCCTGTTACATTTTTCAGCTCCCGCAAAACCTAATATACTTCTGTACATTTCATGTACAGAGTATAAAAATGATGACCAATTTTTCATGCAAATTAACAAAAGAAATCGAAATATAAATACAATGTAAATATATTACACATTGTTTAATTAGGAGTTCTTAACAGATTCGTTAAAACTTTTAGTTCATGTTTAGTTCTCATTCGATTAATGGATTACTAATACAATTGAAATGTAAGTCTCGCAAATTGTGCGACATTTTGAACTCTGAACATGGAATTGATTGACCATTTTTCGGCCTACATTTTTATAAAAAATTGTATAAATTAGCATCAAAATAAATGATCAAATTATAGAGATCGCACTATGTATGTATTTGTGTGATTTTACATAACTAATCATAGATCGCATTTTGTTCGAAGTCAGGCCTTAACAAATAGAGTTTGCTGATTAGATCTTTTTATAATGATTATCTACTGATGATCAGTGATCGTGATCATCTATCACATGATCATTTCTAGCAGTTATTTACACGTATCTAAATCTTAATCGCTGGTGATCAGTGATTGTGCTTGGAAAAACGTACTGATCGCACTTGTTGTGTGATAATTAATTACAAATCCACACTAATCGTCATCTTCGATGACTGATCACAGGTAGAGGAGCTAAAGAGTCTATTAATTAATAAATATTATCATTTCAAAATCAAACTGAATCAGTTTCCAATCATGTAGAACATTGTTAAACTGTTCAGTCCAGCATAACCCAAGGCACTGGCAATCATTAGACGAAGCTGACCCCAAACTATAGATTTGTCTATAAGTATGTACATATGTAGTAGGATCATTAGTATGTTTGTGTGTGTGTGTGTGTGTCAACTTCCGCTAACCATGCATGCTCGTTTCTTAAGTCGATCACTGATCAGGAGCGCATTGCGGCTTTGTGCACATGACTGGGCACTTCATAGTTGAATAGTTTTAAGCCGCACCAAACCCACTTTCAATCAATGCTGCACAATTTATTTTAACCATATGGATTAAGCCGCTCAAGACCTATGACAGTATAGTTTGTGCGTGTGGCTCAACACACTGATTGTTAAAACTTTCATAAGAAAGTTCACGACAAGGGCTACTAGTGTGACCATTATACTAATGATGAAACGAAACCAAGTTAGAGCAAACATTTCATAAGACGCTCTGCTCTACTCCGCTTCGCTCCACTCCACTCCACCTGGCCCGCCTTCCTGCCCAGCCACAAACAATGACCATCCATTTGGCCACCAAAAACACTAACATGCATGTGTGTGTGTGTGTGTGTGTGTGTGTGTTATGGAGTTGGTGCCCTAAACCCAAACATATGGACGTACTCGCGTGTAGGGGCATGTGAAATGCGCCGCTTACGTAAGCGAAAAACATTTTTCCACAAACGAACCAATTTACATAAGCCAGGTTCCGATACCAAAAACAGTTTTCGATATGAGTTGCGTTAACTTTCTGACAGACCGGCAGGCTGACTGACTGACTGACTGACTGACTGACTGGCTGGCTGGCTGGCTGGCTGGCTGGCTGGCTGGCTGGCTGACTGCCTCACGGGGCTGGCTAGCTCGTTCCAGACGCGTTTGCCGATAACATTTTGTCGAGTCTCTTCATTTTTTATTTTTTCTTTCTGTCGTTCATTGTTATTTAAGTACCGGACATAAAGTAAAACACGTTTGTTGTGCTTTTTTCGTGCCTCATGAAAATGCAGACACCAAACATAAAACTCTTTTCTCTTTTTGTTTCTTTTTTCCGTGCTATTGCTGCTGTTGTTGTTGTTGTTGTTGTTGTTGTTGGAAGTCACCATGGGGGATTATAGTAGAAGCAATGGAATTATGTACACACATAAATGATTAACATTTTGTGTATGATAAAAATGTAGAACCTCATATGGCAAGCGTGCGGAACGTGCTGCCATTTTGAAATGCTGGATCTATGTATGTATTAGGTTCGCTTTGTTAGAGAGCTGGAGGAAACACCTTGTATAACCAGTTATGGCGATGTTGGCAGAAATCTTTATCAGTTTTCTAATCAGTTTCAACTCTTAGCATTGAAAGCTAGCTAAGCCTTAAGTGATGATGTACAAATTCCTTGTTTCTAAAGTATTGTAGAAGCAATGGAAATACATACATCAGTATTTATATTTGGAGGCAGACGTGCATCCATTTTGAAATGCTGGAAACACGTATCCACTTAGATTGGCTGTGTTACCTGATAGTCGAATTGTTGGTAGAAATAGGCGAAATTATAAAACTAATAAGCTATGATAGTTGATATCAATATATTGGCTCAGATTCGGGACCAACAAAGGAAATACCTTACTCTTAAAATACGTCGTTTATTTGCGTCTCAAGACAAGCAAGACTTATCACTAGAAAGGGGTTATCTAATCGGCTACATTTATGAAAATACGTTGCTTCACATTTCTTATCTTCATCATTAATTCATGGGTGCGATGGTGAAGAGATTTACGAGTTGATTATATGGAGATTTCTTGAGTTTTACTTGGAGTGGAGCTTGGCTGTGAGATCACTTGAGATTAGTCAGAGATTGGCTATGATATCAGTGTCTTGCCTTGAGGTTCATTGCCTTCCAGTTGTTGTTTCTCAATATCTGCGCGCAGCCCACACATTACACAGATTATCAGATTGATTGGAAACACACACACACACACACACACACGCACAAGAGGGAATCGCTTGCAGCGACCTTGTTCATTGCGATGGCTATTATCTCTTGTTAGCTGAGAACCTATACACTTGGGGCTTGTCGAGAGAACTGCCCGAATCGCATAAAACGTGTACTGCAAGCATGAGAACTGCTGAACGTGTTCATCTGCCATCGGAGCTGATAAATAACATGAACACACACACACACATACATATATATCTGAGTATATGTATATACATGAGTACAGCATTGTTGGCTCTGCAATCTGACATCCGTGTTCCATTAAGTCTAAAGATGACCGGATGATGATCGACAGCGTAGATAAAAGTTTGAAGAACAAGAAATAAAATAACAGTTTCATAATCTTGTTAAAAATAAAAACGGCGCTGTGAGAGACGCCTACATGTGGAACCTGTTTTCTTTGGGCTCAGTGTGCGGGGCATTTGTCATACATGGGCGATAAGTAATAAACAAGTGGCAATGATTGAATAATAACAATAGCTATGATTCTGCAACTATGGAATGCGTACAATGGTTGAATGAATGAATGAATGAATAATAATTAAGCGTATTTCATATTATTCTAATTTTAGGCCTTCGCTGCCAAACATTCGGATGCCGAGTCCCTGTTGCACAACATGAATGTGAAGTATTACTATTATACGAGAACCCGCGGACTCTTTAGGATATGCTATCCCAAGGAACGTCCCCCAGCAACAGCAGGTGAGTTGAAAGATACAATGAGAGCGATGCTGATGTATTAACCCACCATTTTTGATTGAAGTACCCACCTATTTGTCGCCCATCGAGACGCATTGCTCGAATATTGATTACTTCCCGCAAGTGGACGATGACAAAATTTCCAACGAGGATGCTCAGTCGCGTCTGCATTTAGCCCGCTCCTGCGTTGCCCTATTCATCATTAGGTAAGCGAATCGTAACTTCAAGTGAAGAATATAAAGTACTGTAATAACTCAATCATGTGCATTAGCTTTGTGACGATCTTTTGCGCCTTCTGGACTGGACTATCGGGTTGCTGGAAACGCTCTTCGGGCGCCATCACTGCTACATCGATTTTGCTGCTGGTGACATGCCTTTTAGCCGCTGGTGCCATGGGTCTGTGGCACACAGTTGAGTTCTTTGAGAAGGAGAAAGTCGTTGGAGAAGATTATTTCCAGCAGTGGAACACGGTGCGTATACGCAATGGTCACTGGTCGTTGTTGTTTCGGGTCAACCGTAGAGGGCAGACAACAATTTTACTTTCACTTGTTATTACAACCGGTTGCTTTCTTTTTGCAGGTACTACGCGATAATACCAAGGTCTTGTATGATTGGTCCTATATTGTGGCCTGGGCTGGCATTGGGACCTGTCTCTTGGCCGCCATTTTGTTGTCTGGTGCTGCTGTCTGTCTGCGCAACGAGCGCGAGAAGGAGGAACAATTGAATCTGCAATATCTGATGCCTGGTAATAAAATACTTCCGATACACTCAAGCTCAGGCTGTGACAGAAAACATTTCATAAAATATTCCTCATTGCGGAACGATTAATTTCTCAATTGGAGAGATATACTTCGTGAAATATTTTAATTCAGTCTGAGCTGGCTCTAACCATATTCATATTCAGCATACATATGTATATATATATTAATAATTCCCCCAATTTCTTGCAGTGTACTCACAGAAGCAACCCCCTTATCCACCGTACGCCAACTACGCACAGCCACAGATCTATCCTGGCCCCTATTATCATGGCTCGCAATATGGACCCTACAACTACTAGAACAACTTGACGAAAAATGCGAAATAAGAAAACAAAACATATTGAACAATTTTGAACAGTTTTCATAACAAATCACAAAAAGGAGAAACAAAAAACAATATGGGACGAAACATATAGATATCCTGCGTTTATACGAAGTCCGAAGATTATAATCCGATTGGGATGCTTGTCAATAGATCGAGCTCACGATCTCCGGACCTTGTAGAAATACAGTTGTAGACAAAGCGTTGTAGGCGCAGAGAACGGTGCTTGTTCTCTACAGTCGTCGCTCTTTAAATTAAACGTAACTGTACTTACACGAAATTCCATGATAATTTTTTTTTACAAACATTTTTAGTTGTTAGTTTTTTTAAATATAGGCACGCAATGACTTGCATATAAATTACGTTACTTAAGTCAAAAATATGATACAATACAATAATGTAAAGTTGGAATATTAATGGTGCGCGATGTGTTTGCGCCCATTTTGCAAGTGGAAAAAATGTGAACAGCTGAATGATGAAAAAGACAGACAGAACAATAAAAGCTTAAATTATTGTAGTCGATATATTATAAATAATATTAAAAGTACTTAAGCGTAATTTTTCTATGTATGTACTATATGAATTATGAGAATGTAATGCGATACGTTTTCGAAATGCGCGGCAAGTTTCATTTTGTCTTCCAAGTAAAGTTCATATACGAATACATGTGTATGTAGAGCTAAACTTTCTTACGTTATGAAATAAAACAATAAAAAGAAAATAAAAACAATTCACTTTTATTTTATTTGAACCTAACGCTTGCAATTAGCGCTTGCGCATTGAAAACAAAGAGGGAAATGTGACCGACCAGCTGGGACTGCTTGGCATTGCTGCTGTTGTCGTGCGCTTTCTGGCAACGCCATGTGCGCTTATTGTGATGGCGCTCGACGTCAGGTGGCAGCCTCAATACACTGCAGAGCTGACGCACACAAACACATCGCAGCCGCATCGATAGTCGCATCGATACATCGATGGATTCTTCACACCACTAACAGATAGATGACACAGTCCGTCGACACAGAAAGTGCAGTTTGGCTGAGAACTTGAGTATTTCAATTAAAATATGTCCGGTTTCGATGAGAATCCTTTCGGCGAGCCCAACATTGACAATCCGTTTGCGGTGAGTGTGTAATACCAGTTTTTTCATGTTGCCGAAAAAAAGTTTGCCCCACGCATACACAAACGCGCAGCAACACATTTAAACTCACACTTACAGCCATGTAAGCTTTTGGCGAGTGTGCGTGGGCAACTACATGTATATAACTGTGTATATACATATATGTATACAAATGTGTGTGTGTGTGTGTGTTTGTGTAGGTGCAACGACGACACATATGTGTGGTGACTTGAAAACTTTGCTAACTTTTCGTTTCTTTTTTTTACAATGTTCACCCCGTTGCCGCCCCCAAAATACCAGGATCCCGCAATACAACAGGCCACGCGCATGACTTCCAATGTCTCGCTGGAGGATTACAATCCGTTCGAGGTGCAGGCGAAACCACAGCTGCAAATCAACTCAAGCAATACGGTGGCTGTCGTCCAGCCGCTCTCACAGAACATTCCGCCCCCGCAGACAAGCTCTTTGGCCGCATCGGCACCGAGCACAAGCCTACAGATCACATCGGAGGAGCTTCAGGTGGGCATCTCAGCATCCTCTTCAATAACTTATGCGGGGGTGTGTCGCTGCTATCTGCACAACACACAAAGCTGTTGCATTGTAACGCTCTGAGTCACACGGCATCACAATCAGAGCGCGCGCCAGTATTCTAGAATTCTAGTTGGCCTAGCCAGACGGCAGCGGCTCGTATTACATATGTACTCGTATATCTGTATATATGCGCACACATAGATGGCTCCATCACCGTTAGCCCTCGGTAACGACATCGTCGTCAGTTGGTGGTTTCATCATTTCGTCTGTCGCGAAGTGCATTGCTGTGGCTGCTGCTGCTGCCGCCGCTGCATCCACAAAGGCCTTCTATGTGTGCCGCCTGGTGTACGAGTATGTGTATGTTCATATGGCTGCGTGCCTCTGTGCTCATAGAATGGCAAACTGAATGCTGATAATGCCACAAAAATGCTAACAATCAACGATGCTCCCAACACAGCATTCTCTAATTATCTGCCATGCAACTTTATCACTTGCAGCGCCGTCAGGAGGAGCTTGATCGGAAGGCCGCTGAACTTGATCGACGCGAACAGCAGCTGCAGGGCAATGTGCCACAGTTAAACAATTGGCCACCGTTGCCCGCCAATTTCTGTGTGAAGCCGTGTTTCTATCAGGACTTCGAGGTCGAAATACCGCCAGAATTTCAAAAATTAGTCAAACATCTGTACTATATTTGGATGTGTGAGTATTATTTTCGTGTTTATAAGCCAATATACAAGCTATATTGATAAGGGCTGTAGTAGCGCATTAGTCATGTATATGAAAACAAATGGCTGGTTTGTTGGGCTGCAAAAAAAATACAGAGGGGACGTTTCGAATACTGATCTACAGTCCATGTTAAGGGCATATGTATAAGAGCGTGCGTGTGATTAGAAGCAGATAAATATTTTCTCCTTCATTCGCATATCTGGTGACCTATTTTATTATTTGTATAGTTCTTTAGTTTAATCGCTTCATAAAGAGAGAGACTTTTATTCTCCATACACACCCCGCATAGACATTTTTAATCTGCTTATGTGGCCTAACGCTAGTGGCTTGAAGAACCACTAATTCATTATAATTGCGCAGAAATATTTCTAGATAGTGTTCAAATATATGAATTTTTCGAGTATTGTCATTATTAAGGTACTGCTTAAAGTTAAGAAAATATTTTCTGTTGATTATGGTGCATGATTGAGCTTTGTGGCCAAAAACTATAAAACTATATTAGGAAAACTGGAGAATGTCGTACCCCTGCACAGTGGTCCGATTCCTGCAATATTGTTTAGCTTATCTAGAGATTTGGTTGGATAGAAGCAAATAAGTTTTCCCCTTCAAGCAACAGATTCGCATTTTCTAGTGCTTTTAACATTTGTACTTTGCCGGAATTTATCGATTTGTTTTGACATTCAATTGTGTATGTGGTCTGATATAACTGCTTTCTGAAGTAAATACCACTAATAGATAGTATGGATAAAGCATATAGATTAGATAAAAGATATTAGTCTGACTATCTGCTCCCTTCATCTGACGCACCAAAAGTTACATATATTAAAGGCAACGTGCGGCTATGGCATTGTGGCTGCCAAGTGGCACACATAGACTTATCCGATGTCCAATGTGTCGATGATTAATGCCCATCGCTCATATCAGGTGATTACCAGAGATTGATAAAAAGAAAACTGTTTGATTGTGGTGCACAAACACCAAAACTGAAATCGCAAATTTACTCACAAACTACCTCTTTCTCTTTTCTCTCGTTCGCTTTGTTTTGCAGTCTACACCATGACGCTGTGCGCTAACATTATTGGAGGTCTCATCTTGCTCTTTAATGAGGGCAATATATCTAATTTCTTTCTGGCCATATTTTATACCGTGCTCTTTGCACCCGCGTCTTATGTGTGCTGGTAAGTCTCCGGAAATATTTAGAATAGAATGGGACCAGTTCCTAACGCTTTAATCCTATCTGTCTGCCACAACAGGTTTCGGCCAGCCTACAAAGCCTTTCGCAACGACTCGAGCTTTAACTTCATGGTGTTCTTTTTCGTGTACTTCTTCCAAACGATTTACACGGTGGTACAAGCCATTGGTTTCAAACAGCTGGGCTATTGCGGCTTCATCACGGCTATTTCACAATTCCAGGGCACTGCAGGTAGCATCATTGCGGGTCTGTTGCTGCTAATCATTGCCTTCTGTTTTGCGCTCACCGCAGCCGCCAATGTGCTGATGATAACAAAGGTGAGTGCTACATGTTTTCATATTTTTGATAAACTCGCCACAACGTCTTGTTTATATGGTTTCAGATACATACCATTTATAGGAGCACTGGCGCCAGCATGGCCAAGGCTCAGCAGGAGTTCACCACAGAGTTTTTGCGCAACCAGCATGTGCAGGAGGCCGCCTCGTCTGCAGTCAATACGGCGATCAATTCACAGTTCAATAACAGCAGATACTAAATGCAGCAGAGAGCAATAATAGCAACAGCAACTACATCAGCAACATCAACAATTGCAGCACATTTATGCACTCTCCCACCCACTCGCCAACACATTGACACATCAACACACCAACACAATTGAAAGACAATTATGAAAGGAGGAAGAAAACACAAAAACGCAGCCGTAGATCCATGAAAATATATTTAAACCTTCAAGTCCACATAGGCACAAACATATATATTCAGAAAAAGAAACACCCAGACAAATCCTTAAACACAGACAGCTGCCTTTTTGCATAAACGTAGAGAGAACAACTGAGTAAATGAATAAATATATATATATACATATATGTTTAAGTCAAACTAATTGCTGTATGCGTAAACAATTCCTAGAATGCCGTCGTCTTTATTAAAAGTAATTATTGTAATCTAAATATTAATATAATATGAAATGCAGCTTATTCAAAATTGCAAGTAGTGCAAACAACAGACAAGCGCCCTCCACACTCTCACCCACATACTCTTACCACTTGCTCTTACACAGCTACGATTTCTCATGCATTCTCAAGTATTTCGGCTGCAGGGCGACTAAAAGAGATAGACACTTAATTTATTGTAACATACAAAAATAGGTAGAGGAAGAAAGAAAGATGAGGAAATGAAGGAAGTGATGGAAGAAGAGAGAGAGAGAGAGCCCGAGTCGAGCCCTCTTGGTGTTTAAACATTTATTTTATTATTTTGTGTTGCGCTTAAGAATAACGAAATTATTTGCAGTGTCAGTGCTAGTGCTGTTTAATAAGTTGTAAATTTATAAATGCACATGCATAATACTCTGCACGCATACATACATACATACACACACACACATATATAAGTACATGCATATACATACGAGTATATATATATTATTATTGCTTCGGCATATTTGCATTAAAATGTTAATAGAAGTTGTGCGAAAACTCGATGTGTTTTAGAGCGTTATTAAGATAATTTTGTTGAAATTAATTTATTTAATTGGTAGCAGCAGCAGCAACAACAAAGCAAACGTAATCCATATGTATTTGTATAATGACAATTGATAACAATAACTGATAACTACTATTATGAGTCGGATGAAGAGCATAACGATTAGAATGATAAAACGCTAATGCTTCTGATAAAATGAGATGTTTTCTAGTTCTCTAAGTTACATAATCAATATACATACACGTATTAAACTATATTATATATAAATATTTAAAGCATATTGCAATCTTTTCTACTCTATGTCCGGCCCCCCTCCCCGCATTTTACTTTCGTTGCTACACATCTTTGCATTTAAAAATCTAACCACATACTATACAAATGCATATTCAATGAATTGAATTGTATTCGCTGTTTTGCCCCTCGCCCCCTATACAATGTCGTGTCGTGTAATTTGTAATTGTATTGTAATTGTTATATATACATAAATATATACACACATATATGCATACAGCATAAACATCAATCGGATTCTCCTCTCTACCTTTCAGTTTAACTCTAGCGCTTAGGGATTGTATATATTTTGGTGTACGACTACACGTATAAGACACTCTTTGTGCTTTAATATCGCAGAACAAGTGGAAAATACTTGTAGTATCGCAACCATTGATAAATAGTCTGGAAATGTTACGGCATTCAATAATTTCAGAATAAGCTCGAATTTTTCAAAGTGGAGTTGTTTGCATATTTATTTGAAGGATTGGAATTTTCGTGCGTTCTGTACATTTTAATTTGGAATAAATTTGCATGTGCTGTTCAGGGCCGAGTTCTTGAATATACCATCAAGATATTGTACTTTCAAACTGTTTGGGCTATTGCAGCTATCTGGTCTGTTGAAATCTTATTGGCTTTTCGGGCTATTGTAAATTATCTGTAGATGTGTCGATGTGATTGGTCAGGCTGGAACAATTCTCCAATGCATTTGGATCTTGAAGATTCAAATTCAATTGAAGAATGATTTGCGAAACTATTTTCATAGATGATCCGGCAGAATTGTCTGCGATTTGGTGTGCCAGGCCTTGGGCTATTGAATTAATCTAAGTATGGAAGATATGCGGTTATAAAAACTATATTCGATAAAGTACTTGCAGCTTTTTACCATTCTGGGGTGTAGCATGTCGTATACCTAGTCAGCTTGGCTGTACTTTTAACGTATAAAACATTCATAACTTATAACGGAACAATTTTTTTTTTGTATGCCACACTTATTGCATCGATGGATGAAGTTTTTCAGAAATACTCGACGTTGGACTGGTTCTAGGCTATTGATATTGTTCTGATCGGAATATTGAAGCTTTCCAGTTGCGGACGGGTGCAACTATTAAAATGTTCCGACATTATCCCATCTTTGCAATTGTGTGTCAGCCAACATGTGTGGCTTGAAAATAATTTCAATCAAACAACATCAACAGCAACTAGGGCTATTGAATATCCGTTGTTGTATATATGAAAATAGAGATAACGAAATTCAATGAAAATTGTGTTTTTCTTTCTGATTCTTCTTAGTTTCTTGCATTCCTGGAAGAGTGTGGTTGAATACAACAATAAAGATAACTCGCTTCGAAATATGATTATGACATATGCATTTCTGTTTTACTTACCAATTTCCTTTTGACAGGATCGCCTTGACGTCTTCACATTCTTTTCCTGTCCTTTTATTGCTGGAGATTAAGTCCGCTAAGGCACCTTTTTTCACGAACTTCCAATTTGAGATGCAGTCGAAGTGTGGGGCATTGAACTCAAAAACACAAAAACAAAACGCGATACAGATGATGGCTATGCGGAAAGGATGGGGAATTGAAGCACAGACCTGGTGAGTGGATCGATCGTCACTTACCTCCGTAAGACCTTGGGGCGAAAATGTTATATTTAACGGTCTACTGACTGCCTGCATCCAGCTTGGATTGCTTTTTTTCGGCAACTTTTGGGCCGTCGCCCTCCCCCTCTCCCTCGAGCTTGACATTCTCGTCGCGACACACCAGCTTGCGAATGGCCGTCAGAGTTTCCTGGGGAGTCTCTGCCCACTCCTTCAGATTAAGGTAATATTTCACCTTCTTCAGTATTTCAGTAAGTTCAGCCTCAGACGCCTTTAACGCTTCCAGCTCTGAGAGCACATTCGTTTCGGGAGCCTCATCATCGGCAGAGTCTTCGCTTGGGAGAGATATGGCAAGACTCTCTATGCAATACTCTTCTGGATTTATATTGCGTTTGAAAGCGTCTTTTCTCTGCACGATGGCTGTTTAGGAATTATGTGAGCGACTATTTATGTTAGGAGGAAGGGAGGAAGGGGTTATACCTGACTTTGTCGAGAGGCTAGAGGACTGACTTGCAGTCGATCTAGCGCTCGTAAGACTCTGAATCGAGTCGCTTAGGCATCTGTGCTTCCTTTGCGATGTTGGATGTCCACGACGGAGGCCAATCTTCTGATTCTGACGCATCGCAAGCGCATCGTAGGGAGCCCCGGTATCGTGTTTAAGATAGAATGTGTGGAGCCAATTCAAGGTCTCGTAGTGCCTTCCTTGTTGGAGGTCCTTTATCTCAAGCGGGTAATTTATATTCAGCGTCTTGAATGCCTTCTTCAATAGATTGTAGTTCGACTCCATCTCGAATTGATAGTTGGTGTAGAACTTTATTTGTCGTAAAGAGACAGATTGTGGAAACAGGCGATGGATGATTTGAAGATAAGCCGATCCTGTATTGAACTCGTCCAGGGACGAGAAGTTGGCTTGGAGGACGTCGTTTGCCCAACTCAACAACTGGCGCAATGAGAGTTTCACCATTTTCTATCGAAACTAATTTATCTTCTTTATTAACTAATTTACTATTTATATTCTATTTTTACGTGTTGAATGTTGAACGTGTGTTCACTGAATGATTTCTGTTCGAGTTTTAAATTCGGTTCTGGCTAACTACAAAGTCAACGCCATCTTGGATGTGAATCGAAATATGGAATTTCATATGCTATATCCGTTTAAAAAGATGTGAACGTTTAAAAATTTGTTAATTATTTTGAATATGAGAGACATTAAAAAGTTGCCAGATATTTCTTAAGCAATATTTTGGGATTTTTATAAGATACATCTGTGGTAAAAGGAGACACTACTTTCCAATTCAACCGTTAACAGATCCCTGAAACTACATTTTTTAAAGTTCATCCAGGGACACTGAATAATTCAGTTACGCTTAAGGATCGATTGTGCGCTTAAAGTATCTCTTTATATACATTTTTATTTCCATATTATTAGAAAGTTTCTGGTAACAAAATAAGATTTGGAAGACACAAAAAAAAAGAGGCATATTATGAATTGTCTTGGCAATCAACGAGCCAGTAAGCCCTCGAGTAAGGTTTTAAATTGGAAAACTCAAAAGCTGGACTAAAATTGACTGAAGTTGTTGATTCTTATTAATTTTGTCGTTCAAATGCATGACCAATCGTGAGATTGTTTGTGCCGAATGAATTGCTCACGCGCCCATCTCTAGCAGAGAGCTAAGAAAATTGTAAACATACACGTATGTATGTATATCAGTAAGTATGTGTGTGCGTATTTAGTTGACCATTCCACCCTCACTCGAACACCAGCGGCAACTCTGTAAAGGGCAACACTGGATGCAGCGGTTGCAGCTCGAGAGATCGCACCAAACACGCAACGCTCGCGCTGTTCTCCCCCAGCGCCTGTTTGGCCAGCGCCAGACTGAACCAGAGTTCGGGACAGTTGCCGTCCAATTGGAGCGCCCGCTGCAGCAGCTGCTCCGCCAGCTGTGGCATCTGCAGACGCAGCTGCGTCTCGGCCAGAAAGCGCAGAGCCTGGGCGCTTTTAGGATTGAGAGCAAGGGCATCGTTGAGCCAGCGACGCGCCTTTACACACTCGCTCGCGTATAGATGCCAGCGACCGCGCATGAGCAGCACTGCCGCCGACTGCGACAGCGATGAGAAGCGAGTCGTCTCCGACTCGGCCTCCTTAATGCAGTGCAGCGCCTCTTCGGCATTGTCCAGCTCCAGGTAGATTTCGGCCAGCAGTAGCCAGATGTTCAGTGGCGCCTGCGCGTCCTCGCTCTGGACTCGCTGCCACACGGACAGCATTCGATGGGCCGTCACCAGTGCCGTCGACGGTTCCTCCGAACGCAGCTCCAGTTGCACCTGCAGCCGCAACAGCTGCAGATCATCGGGATATTCGGCCAGTGCGTCCTTCACCACACACAGCGCCTCCACTCGTCGCGTGCCGCCACTCAGCAGCAGTGCCAGCAGCTGCAGCGAAGCCACGTGCTCCGGGCGCAGCAGCAGCGCCAATCGTATGTGCTCCAAAGCCTCCTCTGGCTGCTGCAGCAGCGCATGCTGTCGCGCCAAATAGTACTCGGACAGATGATCGCAGTCATCGGCGCGTACGGCCGCCTCCAGCGTTGCCAGCGCCTCGGCATTCCGACCCAGACACTGCTGGCCCAGACCCACATAGAGCTGGGCCCGCGCATGGCCCAGCTGTAAGGCCTGCAACGCATAGTTCAAGCCCAGCTGGGGCTGCTCCAGGGACTGATAGCAGAGGCGTGCGGCTAGCAGAAAGGGCAGCGCCTGGTGCGGGTCCAGCTGCATCAGCTCCTGAAGCTGGCGCAGTGCAGCCGCCCACTGGCCAGCCATCAGTAGACTTAGAGCGTGCTGTTGCCAGAAGTGGTAGGCCTGCCCGTCGCTGCCAGCATGGGGGAGTGCGCACTGCAGTTGTGCTGCGAGCAGGGGCCTGAGAGCAGGCCAGCGGAGTGTGGCCAACGGCAGCAGATCGTAGAGCAGGAGTGCTGAGGGCTTTACTGCCGAGACTATCAGCAGCAGCAGCAACACCTCCTCGTGCCGGTTCTGTGGCGTGCAGATGATGTCGGCCTGACCATTGCCATGATTCACTGCGCCGATGCTGCCCAAGCTGGGCATCTCGTAGGCCAGTCCCAGACTGCCGTGCAGCAGCAGACGCGCCAGCTTAAGAGCCCACTGGGCACGCTGCAATCGCGTGCTGTGCGTCTCCGCCGCCTTCAAGAGGCGACGATAGCGTGCGATGAGCGCCGCCGGCTCCTCCCCGGCCAGCGCTATTTCCGACTGCCAGAGCGGCTGCGGATATGCGACCAGGTAGCGCTCCAGATGCGTCGTCTCTCCCATCAGAAGCTGGCGCTTGTTGTCCGGAACCTCGCTGCGGCAGCTGTCTATGAGGGACTTCACGCAGAGGCTGCTCCGAATGCAACGGGACATCACGAGCGCTGAATGCGAACTGCAGCTCCAGCCCGGGCCGGTGTTCGATCAAGCCAACTACAAGTATAAACACACTCTCACATACATACATATGTACATACATATGTGCATATATGTATGTATATGGTATGTGCATTATATTCATGAGCACAGAAGAGTTGAGCTTCCGGTGAAAACTACATGTGTGCGGCGCTTTGAATTACACCTGCACTCAGGCCTTACTTACTCCGAACACCTGCCAGCCACATGCACATTGGAATTGCGTTTAAGTGACTCAGCTACCTGGCCTAGAGACGCATTACACGAGGCACTTTCTGTTTATATCTGGACTGAAGTTTCAATTTAATTGTTTAGTTTCGTGCCAGAAACCAAGTCAAACTATAATTACTCTCTTCGAAGAATTGAAGAATAATATACATACATATGTATGTATAGTTCCGCAACCAGGTCGAACTTTGTTTAAGACACAGAAAATGTACATTTCTAATTTATAGCTTGAGCACTGTATAGTATTATTTCCCAACCAATCAACATTTGTATTACTTGTAAGCATTATTTTTTACAAAGCCTTAAATAAACTCATTTCTGGGCCTTCTAGGGGAATCACAAATCGAATGTTTCTGTACATTATTTACAAAGTTTCCACGCTTGTGAAAAACGTACCCTAAGTTGATGAGATGATTTGATTTTCCGAAATTCCCAGACACTTTTCAGCTTTTCTTCGACAGTGGGTCATACATATAAAAAGAGTTCCCGAGCCACTCTTCACATACCTATGTGCATTTATTTTGGCAGTCTTGTGAGTTTACAACGCAGATTACTCTAATGTGGATCGAAATAATTGAAATACTTGTATTGTGTAAAATTGTCTAAGTAAAGTGTGTAGTGGATTCCTTGGGCCCGCAGATTGGTCATCGCTCCGCCAATGGAAAGTGTATATTTGATGCTAGTGTGTGTGTGTGTGTGTGTGTGTGTGTGTGTTGATCCTTGAGTAATCAGCAGTTTATGAATTGTGTAAAAATTGATATGGAGGTGCTCATTTGCTTGTGAGTATCGTGCTTCCACGACCATCGCGCTACGATGTTGATAGACGGCTGTCTTCCTAATCTTGCTGGAGAGCCTCCCGACGCTTTGCAGCCTTGCGTGTGGACTTGCGCTTCTCTTTCTTTTTATCCTTTCCGTTGTAGGTTTCCACCTCTACCTCCGATTCGAAAGTTAACTTGCGGCTAAAGCGGCATGACTCCCCAAAACGGACCGCTAAAGTAGAACCGCTGTATTTCTTGTGCCCCATTTTCTTGGAAGAGATCTTGAGCTTTACGTCAACCAATGGCTGACCATCGTTATAACTATTACGCTTCGGTTTTACTTCCAGCTTTGAGATCCATTTGGTGCGCTTCTTGGGAACTTCTTCTATTTGGTTATCAGCGCGTTTCTTCGCCTTGCGTTTACATCTGGGAACTAGAGTTGGCTTTGCCATCAAAGCATTGACAGAGCGTTCAGCAATTGGTGACCCTTTAGGCGATGATGGCTCCTTCGGAGGCTCTGCTTCCACTTCGTATAGTGCCAGTTGATTGGCTGTCAATTTCTCTTCGGCATCATGAGGCTTACGGGCCTCGTCAGTAGCCTCGTCTCGAGCTTTACGGAAACGTCGTGGAAACTTACGCCGCCATAGCTGGCCTGCGTGTGGCTTCAAATATGGTTTACCCCCTTGACGGCGTACCTTGCGCTGGGGTAGTGGCGGCTTGGTCTTCTTTGCCACCTTCGGAGCAGCCGCCTTCGGAGCAGCCGCCTTCGGAGCAGCCATCTTCGGAGCAGCCACCTTCGGAGCAGCCGCTTTCGGAGCAGCCCCCTTCGGAGCAGCCACCTTCGGAGCAGCCGCTTTCGGAGCAGCCGCCTTCGGAGCAGCCGCCTTCGGAGCAGCCACCTTCGGAGCAGCCGCTTTCGGAGCAGCCCCCTTCGGAGCAGCCGCCTTCGGAGCAGCCACCTTCGGAGCAGCCGCCTTCGGAGCAGCCGCCTTCGGAGCAGCCACCTTCGGAGCAGCCGCCTTCGGAGCAGCCACCTTCGGAGCAGCCGCTTTCGGAGCAGCCCCCTTCGGAGCAGCCGCCTTCGGAGCAGCCACCTTCGGAGCAGCCACCTTCGGAGCAGCCACCTTCGGAGCAGCCACCTTCGGAGCAGCCACCTTCGGAGCAGCCGCCTTCGGAGCAGCCATCTTCGGCTCCTTCTTAAAAGGTTTCTTTGCCACCACCTCACCTGATTCGGCTAAAGTCTCAACTTCTTCAACTGGCTTCTTCGCCGGCAATTTGTTCGCTTTATTGCGAATATTGTCATTTGATTGCGATTTGTTAGCCTTCGACTTAACCCACTTATTGGGGAATGTACGCATGCCTATTTTTGGATTAACCGCTTTTTTGCCCTTGTCTTGCGAGTTATTTGCCAACTCAGCCAGAGGATGTCTAGCCAGACCCTGACGAGGCTTCTTCTCCGGCGTTTTTATTGGCGTGACAAAGTTTTTTGCCTGCGCGGCTTTCTTCATCTTCTTCGCATGCGCAAACATGCGGCGCTTTTGATTTTTAGAACACTCCATCTTATTCTTATTCAATGGTTTATTTTTTTGCAGAAAAGCCTCTTTTTATTTCTGCAAATTGTTAAGAGTTTTTCGAGTGAGTCGATTAATACTTTTAATAGCACTCAACACTTACCGTTTATTAACAAATGCGTTTGCGCAAAGCACTCGATTTATACCCAATAAACTGTGACCGTCTGTGAAAATGGCGAACTGTCAATTGAGAAAATTTAAAGCAGTCTCGTATAGTGCTGGAAAACTACAAAAAATTTGACATAAAGATTTGTCGATTTTTGGGCTCACTCAGGTCGTTGCCAGCCAGTAAAACCAAAATGACTTTCCGATACATTTTTGGGAGGACAATTTTGTGTGTCAGGGCGACACGCGATGGAAGTGAAACTTCGTAGTTATTTGGAGTAATTTAGTTTAAGTTAATTGTCTTACAATTTTTATATTGGTAAGGAGGGCATTTGTATTTATTCAGTAATCAAATTTTCCAATAATAAAATAAAATGTTCGTCTTCGTTCAAATAAGAAATGATCGGGTTGCGATAACAGAAATGAGTGATATAGACCCGCGATTGTATATTAGATAGGTATTGTTAATTGTCGTTCGTGACGTGTGCTAGTCTCATTTGCTGAACTATTTATTTTTAAAGATACTTTCTCCTCTAACAACGGAATCAACGGCAATCGTAAATCACAATTCGCATCGTCTGAAGCAAAATTAACATTGAAATCCCCCCTAGACTGAAATCGATTTGATCGATGTTTAAAAATCGAGAAAGATCCATGTATGCTCTTTAATAACTCTCGTCGACGATGTTTTTAACACGATGCATCGATGTATTTTTGCTTGCGATACATCGTCCAAACATCTTACATTTTCATTATTTTGGTGAGCTGTATCGGAGAAGGTATATTTGTATTTTGATTTTTTTGATAGATTTTGATGTGTATTTTGTTAATATTTTTAAAATGTGTAACTGCAAAGCGTAGGAATGATTTGCTTTTACAACTGTATATTATAATTAATTTTTAAGCAAACCATACAAGTTCATTAAAAGTCAGGATTACGATTACTTTATTGGTTAACAACATTAAGTAAAATACTAAGAGAGCCGATTTTTATATATTTTATATAATGTATGTATGTTTATGTAAATATTTTTCATTTAAAACATTTCGGTTGATTTTCTTCCTTTATTCATTCATACATCTCATATTTTTCAACGATAAAAAATTATAAATTGATGCTTGTCTCTGGTCCTGCTATTGGCGTACTTGAGAAAAAACGTAGTTTTTCTATTTGACATCAAAAATAACCAAAAACTACAAAAAAGAGCGACTCTTGAAATTCATAACCTTCCAGGAAGTCATATATGTATGTATGTACATATAACCAGAAGGCAAAATAACTGCTGACGATTGCGTGATTATTTTAATGCAGCGAAGCACAACAACAACATATGCAACAAAAACCACCGGTAGAGTTATGAGTAAATTCTAAGGAAAATCAAGTAACGACACACGCACTACGTGTACATATTTTGTTTTTGCATCGATCCATTGCATGTATTTTGTTTTTACAAAATGATTGACAAGTACATGTTAACCTTTTTTCATTAATATCATCGTTTTATATGGGAAAATGTTCTCAAAATATTTGTGCTTCAAATAATGTGGATAATCTATGTATGTACATAAAAAAAATGATGAGTGGTTGCATAAAATAAAATAATATCAATAGTTATCTATTTTTTCCCATTAACCGAAGCTCGCAATCCATCCGTCCGTCCTCTTGGAACTTCTAGGGAACTTCTTATCTTAAGCAAACCAAGCTGATGACAAACCATGTATGGACTAATTGCTACTAATTATACGGCTGGCGTAGGATCGATCGAGTAGAATAACTTTGCTTGTTAAAGATATACAAGTAAATGGGGTGTGTATAAGTTTAGTATAATGTCGTCATGTAACGTCCTTAGCAATGATTGCTGCCACAAAGTTCCATTGTCTGAAGTGTATTCAAGAGACTCTCAGTGTCTACTTGTTTTCGAAATGTTCTCGTATTTTGGCTGTTGGTGTAAAATATGAATATCCCACTGTACGCTTTAAGTGTGGCGTAATATTGCACCACAAGTCTAAACTTTGTAATCCAGGGTGCCTGAATAATCAACTTAAAGCTCACTTAATTCATTGGGCGCATTAAACATCTGGCATCGGTATTCATTAAAATGTGCTGAAATGGAAGCATCTGAATTCGCATTCGCATCCGTTGCCGTTGCCGTTGCCCGTCTCTCGGGTCGGCCGGCCTCTGTGCGTTGCAGCTGTGTTCGATTTTTATTTGGCCGCCTAGAAGTATGCAATGATTTTTTTCTAGCAGGCTACACCTGCGACCAAGTAACTTGGCAGCTCGGCAACCCAGCAGACCAGTGTATACTTAACTTGCTCGTTAAATTACAAATTAACCCCCCCCCCCCCCACCACAAGTGGGTAAGTGGAAAGTGATGGCCGACGGCTGCGACACTATGATGATGACTATGATGACGAGCACGCTCCGGCCCGACCCGACCCGACCCTACCCGACTCGGCTCCGGGTCCTGCTACTGCTACTGCTACTGCTGGTGCTACTGCTGGTGCTGGTGCTGCTGATGTTGTTGATGGCGGGCACATAAAACGCAAATGTCATTTGAAATTCATATGCGAAATTAAATCGTCAGCAAATAGTTTTTGCCAGCTTCTGCTTCCTTGTGACATTTTTTTCTATTCCCTGCCGCTGTCGCTGTCACTGTCTTTGCCGTCGTAGTCTTTGTATTCGTCTTCGTCCAAGTCCTGCTTGCTTGCCAGCTATTTTTAAAACTGCAATAAAATTTTGCATGCAAATACAAGACAGCTTGGCCATACATACATACAAATATGTGCTTACATACATATATACATAAATATGTATGTGTGTATATGTATGTGTGTGTGTGTTGAAGTGTTATGTGCCACATGCGAATGTCAAATGCCGATGCTGCAAACGCTGGCAACTGTTTGCCAATGACGAGCCACAGTGCGGGCCACCTTCCCCTTCCCCGTCTCCGTCTCCACCCCTGTCCACGCCACGCCCCGACCGGCCTAGCCCTGCCCTGTGCTTTACTTTTGCAAAACAAAAAAAAAAATGTTGCGCATTCGCCACGTTGAGCAAAGATTTGGCCCGATTTCGTTGTTTAATGTTATAAATAGAACTTTTTGCTAGTTGCCGGGCTGCAATGCAGCATGCTTGGACAAGTAGGCGACTGGACAGCTGGACAGCTGGACGATAGGACTGGTGGACAGCTGAGCAGATGGAGTGCTGGACAATGGGACAAAAGAGCAGCTGGGCAAGTGAACAAAACTCAACTCGGGCAGAAATGCAAAGCAAAGAAATAAAATGCTGTGCAAATAGTTACCCAGGCAGCAACACGCTCGCAATTCTGTGAGTAACTGCACCACTCATGTGCGAGTGTGTGTGTGTGTGTGAGGACACGTATGTACATAAGTTTGTAAACTCAAGTACGGGTCGTTAGCGGCAAATCCTTTTGGCACACTTGATCTAACAAGCTGCCCTTTTCAGGAGACTGATGAAAGATCAAAGGGGTGGTGAGTGGTGAGTGGTGAATGGTGGGTGGTGGGTGGTGGGTGGTGTGTGGTGTGTGGGCGGAGTGGTATTGGGCGCGTGTTGCCACATAACATACATATGTATATGTATAGCAGAAAGCAGCCACTACCCGATTGCAATGTGACCCATTTGTCAGGTGGCCATGGCAAAAGCGGCCGGCGCTAATTACTAACGATTTGCTATTGATTGCATTTCACGCTGCCATTGCGGCTGCGGCTTTCGTGACATGGCCAGGACAAAGGACAGTTCAACTTAACGACCGCCATATTGATTTTGTGCCATCACGGAGTGAAGTAGGCATCAGGTAGAGCTGAATCACACAAACACGCACGCGGTTTATTATATTGTCAATACTCGTAGAAAGCAATTTAGTTCCGAATTAACCGATAAGCCTTTTGATGAAGATAAACAGAACGCCTCTAAGACATGCTGGACAGTTGAAAGTTATTTTAAAAAGCTCTCGAAACACAGATACCCGCTCGATAGGTCACACAGGCAACTAATGTTTAGCCGACAATTTAATTTTTTGTATAAGAAAAGGTGTGGATGTCGTGGCTTGCGTGCAACATTTTCTTATATTTAATATATATGTTTAATATATATGTTAAAAACAGACATAGATTCGGATTAGAAAATGCATTTTTATTTTTATTCACTAATTCATTAACTTATTTATCAAAGGTTGGAATACTACTTATCAGAATTTCTTTTATTGTTGCATGCAACATATTGTGGATTCAGATTTTAAATTTCTTATCCATAAGCCCATATACATATGTAAGTAATGACGAAAATTTAATGAAAACTGAGCACAGCAGACAGTGGCAGCTCACTATCGAAACAAGCGTTCGTTTTTAAGGTCATATTTGTACACAATTGTAATAAAAATCCCTGCTAAGCACCCTCTAAAATATTTGCACTTCAGGTTTATTTAAAAGCCTTCTCATCACATGAACAAAATCGAGTTCATAATTTGTCTTTTAATTTGTGGCGTATATCTGACATTAGTTTTATTTGCAAAAGTCTGTAAATTTAAAATAAATATTCAATCTAAGAAGTCGTTGACTTTGTAGTTAGCCAGAACCGAATTTAAAACTCGAACAGAAATCATTCAGTGAACACACGTTCAACATTCAACACGTAAAAATAAAATATAAATAGTAAATTAGTTAATAAAGAAGATAAATTAGTTTCGATAGAAAATGGTGAAACTCTCATTGCGCCAGTTGTTGAGTTGGGCAAACGACGTCCTCCAAGCCAACTTCTCGTCCCTGGACGAGTTCAATACAGGATCGGCTTATCTTCAAATCATCCATCGCCTGTTTCCACAATCTGTCTCTTTACGACAAATAAAGTTCTACACCAACTATCAATTCGAGATGGAGTCGAACTACAATCTATTGAAGAAGGCATTCAAGACGCTGAATATAAATTACCCGCTTGAGATAAAGGACCTCCAACAAGGAAGGCACTACGAGACCTTGAATTGGCTCCACACATTCTATCTTAAACACGATACCGGGGCTCCCTACGATGCGCTTGCGATGCGTCAGAATCAGAAGATTGGCCTCCGTCGTGGACATCCAACATCGCAAAGGAAGCACAGATGCCTAAGCGACTCGATTCAGAGTCTTACGAGCGCTAGATCGACTGCAAGTCAGTCCTCTAGCCTCTCGACAAAGTCAGGTATAACCCCTTCCTCCCTTCCTCCTACCATAAATAGTCGCTCACATAATTCCTAAACAGCCATCGTGCAGAGAAAAGACGCTTTCAAACGCAATATAAATCCAGAAGAGTATTGCATAGAGAGTCTTGCCATATCTCTCCCAAGCGAAGACTCTGCCGATGATGAGGCTCCCGAAACGAATGTGCTCTCAGAGCTGGAAGCGTTAAAGGCGTCTGAGGCTGAACTTACTGAAATACTGAAGAAGGTGAAATATTACCTTAATCTGAAGGAGTGGGCAGAGACTCCCCAGAAAACTCTGACGGCCATTCGCAAGCTGGTGTGTCGCGACGAGAATGTCAAGCTCGAGGGAGAGGGGGAGGGCGACGGCCCAAAAGTTGCCGAAAAAAAGCAATCCAAGCTGGATGCAGGCAGTCAGTAGACCGTTAAATATAACATTTTCGCCCCAAGGTCTTACGGAGGTAAGTGACGATCGATCCACTCACCAGGTCTGTGCTTCAATTCCCCATCCTTTCCGCATAGCCATCATCTGTATTGCGTTTTGTTTTTGTGTTTTTGAGTTCAATGCCCCACACTTCGACTGCATCTCAAATTGGAAGTTCGTGAAAAAAGGTGCCTTAGCGGACTTAATCTCCAGCAATAGAAGGACAGGAAAAGAATGTGAAGACGTCAAGGCGATCCTTTCAAAAGCAAATTGGTAAGTAAAGCAGAAATGCAGTTGCCATAATAATATTTCTTTCGCCCTATTTAAAATATCCGTAACAAAAAATATCCAGCACCCGTGTAAACAACGCCATATCCGGAGAAGGCACAGAAGGAAAAGAAAATTCATTTCTTTCAGAGCTAAGATCAACTGACGGACAATTGAAACTGAATGAACAACTTCGTTAAGGATGTCATCTTTTTGCATATTTTCAACTGCTGAACATTTCCAATAGCCCGAAACACTGCAATAGTCCGGAAACCCTCAATAGACCGGCTGCCCAATCTAGTCCCCCATCCACAATGTGAACACGAACAAGTTATTTTTTAATAGTTACGAATGTTTTATCTGTTAAAAGGTGAGAAGAAATCGCCAAATATCTTCAGACCCTTTGGTGCTAGATCACGCCTAGAGTGTCTCCCAGACCATAACTTTGATTTCTAGCGCTGCTCAAATAGCACAAAAAAACAATATTGTAACAGCTCGCAGCCTTCAAGAATGCAACAAGGCAACAGCAAATATTGGGCATAAAAGGCATATTGTTTCGTTAATAGTTACTTACGATTGTTTATCCTATAAAAGGATGTTTGGATCCCCGTCCAGACTAGTCGAGATCGCAGTTAATGTGTGTTCTAACACGCAAGCCTCCAAAGGCTGGAAGAAGTTCAATAGCCAGGAAACAACAATAGCCCGAGTAATTGCAATAGCCCACAAATTTTGGATGAATTCAGATACATGGATATATTGCGACAAACCCACCTACACACCAACAAATGCAAACAAATTCAAAATTGTAATGTTATTTAGTGCACACAGAAATCCAAATCTCTCAATCAAATGTACAAATAATTCAGTCAATAGTTCAGAAAGAAAGAAGAATTTAAATTTAAAACGACTCAAGTGCACTTATTTATGGGTTTTTAAACAAAAGTTGGAAAAGACTTGGCTGAGAAATGAATTAAGGCTTTGATTGCGGAAACAGCTGCTGGGATTTGAATGTAGCTTGATTTGTACTCTTATAAAGTTTTGCCTACATTGAATGAAATATAAATGAGCAATCATCATAGAATTACTTAACACTTATTTCAACCGTCTTTGGTAATTTATTGGAGAGACCTTGAGAGAGAGAGAGTTGAAGGCATCTTCAGACCGCCACCAGTTTGGCAACTTTCTTAAGATTCTTGTCACTTGTTTTTTAGCCTCAAAAAGTGCTGATTATGCAAGTAATTCCTGTGCTATGGCACGCCTTTGATTGATTGATTGATGGCCTGATTGAGAGCAGGCTCAGGGATGGCTCATCATTTTCATTTGACTTCTTCTTTTGGGGCATATCAGCTAACAATTGCCAACGGCAGTGGCAGTGGCAGTGACTGCTAATCGGTTTATATTGTATCTTTGTTGTTACGGTTGTTGTTGTTGTTGTTGTTGCTGTTGTTGTTTTGCTCGCTCTGACACTTTGGCTTGGCACTTCCCCCCTCAGCAGCGCTCCCCTCGCTGGCCCGCTGTGCGGCAAATTAAGCAGCAAATGAGACCGAAGAGTTGCGCTCGACTCAATGTTTCCTCCTCAAGCTGGGCAATTTTTCACACCATGCGGAAGTATTATTTGGGTCACATTTCCGGCTGCTTTTAATTAAATCTTCTACGCTAGCAGCACCGATACACATACACACACACACACACACACACATCTGCATTTATATTGAAACATAATTGAGGAGCGCGCAGCAACCGGAAGTTGAAATTGTTTTGCAAAGTACGGCTCGTTGGTCAAAACTCTAGCCTGTCTACACGGCTTAGTGACTGAGCCGAGCTCGTGGGTTGGCTCTTGGTTTGAGCAACCGTTAGCCAAAGGGACGGACACGATGGAGCACGCACGCACAACCTATTGCCCTTCATTGTGGGCAGTAGAAGCAGAAGCAGAAACAGAAGAAGAAGCAGCGGCAACGGCAGCTAGCGGCCAGATGATTTCGACTGAGATTGAAGATAAAACACATGCGCGCATCACGTTTTCTATTCTCACACATACAAACGCGCACAAAGCGCACACACACACACACACACACATGGTCCACAGGCGAGGAGATATGCCCGCAAGGCCGCAGAATGCTCGCTACTCACTCACACACTCACACACACACACACACGCACGCACACACACACATACTCGTGTGGAGAGGCGTGCATAACACGCACACAATGAGACGCGCACATGGCACTTGGCCTTTCCTTCGCTTTTGAGCCCAATTGCCAATCCGCAGCATTCCCATAATTCCCTATTTCTATCAGTTAAGCTGTATTGAAGAAATGAACACACAGTAGCTCTCAACGAATTATTAATTATTAGTTAGTTTTCATCAATTTGTTGGTTGCTTTAAATAGGTTTTATAATGTACAGAAAAAGTGATTAAAGCAGCAGAAATGTTCAGATTGGAAGGCTATATACGTATTCGTATTTCAACTAGCAGCATCTGCATATAAGGTTTGGTGAGCTGCCTTCTCTATTTGTGGCCGATAGTATAGCAAGATATTCCTAGACCTTATTCAGTATTCACGTATTTCGACGCCAACCCAGCTCTCAAAGAATTATTAATTATTAGTGAGTTTTCATTAATTTGTTGGTTGCTTTAAATAGATCTTATAATATTCAGAAAAAGTGAATAAAGCAGCAGAAATGTTCAGATTGGAAGGCTATATACGTATTCGTATTTCAACTATTTCAGCATCTGCATATAAGGTTTGGTGAGTTATTGCTTGGCCTTTTTCAATAATCGTTCCCTCAGTTCTCATTTCAACAATTGGTCTAAGTTCTATTAAATACATAAATAACTGAAGACATCTTGTTTACACAAAGACTAAGCAGTAGTGCGAATAAAAGGTAATGTCCTAAGAAGCCTGCAATTTGTTCTAGCTGAGGAGCTTCTTTATCAGCGAAGGTGGAAAAAAATAGCATCTCTCGTATCTCCAAAACAGTTGAAAGTTATTAGCAATTGGTTCACATTTTAAAATAAATGTCTGGCCAAATAGAAACAAATGTTTAGATTCATCTCTCAAACATAGTGTACTACTTACAAAAAGTACATCAGTATGTAGATCACTAGAGGAACCACAAATTTTTAATACAATCTTCAGACTGCTCAGGTGTCTTCCATTTGCTTATATTTTTATGGAAATTATAAATTTATAAGCATTTTGAATTCTAAGCCCAATTGGAATACATTTCGCATCGATAATGGCAATCTAATAAGTCTTTTTATGGAGTTTCTAGAGCTTGCCAGCAAAGATAGCTCTCAAATTTGATGAACACCTTTCGCCAATTAAATAAAATAGAAATAATTAACAAATAATTTTGATTTCTTGATTACGGTTTTAAATATCAACTTCCAGAAAAAGTATACAAACAAACTAAATACGAAACAAAGTGCAATTCTGAAAAATATTGAAAATGAAAGACAGACGCTATTCATTAATATTTTGCCATTTTTTCGAAACCCAATGGGGTAGTCTACAGATATGTAAATCATTTGCAAACAAATTGTTGTTATTCTAGAACAAGGCTTGGAATCATTTGTTTTTAATTATATTTCTGGCGAACTTGAAATTGTTTGTCTGTTGTTTTGTTCAAATTAGCTTTTGACGAAAATAAGGAATTGCTTATGAATTGAAAGGGACAGTCTTCTAAACACTCTTAACGTTAACGTATCAGTGGTTATTGGAACCGCACAGTGGGTTACTTAATCAGAATGGCCGATTGTATAACAATTAGGTATTTCCAAGTGGGTGTTGGGAAAGTCACTTAGTTTCTTCAATGAAAATAAAAAGAGCTTTGCTACAATTTTTCGTAACAGTCGCATATCCTGTCTGTAGAAGAGCAACTCACTCCCACACCCGAACACACACCCACACACATACACACACCGACACACACACAGACACAGAAGACGCTCTCGCGCTAACACGCTTTTATGGAATGACAGCATTCGGCTGCGGTCGGCTTATGGCTCGGCAACGGTTCGTGTGCTGTGGTCCTTTGGTCCTTTGGTTGTGCGCTCCTTTCTGATAAGCTGCCCTGTTAGTGCCAAACTGTCAATCGTGTTGTGCGGTCATGTCGTGTGCGCTCTATATCCTGCCTTTTAAATAGTTTGTTCTGAAAGCAGTTAGGCAGTCAGTCAGTCAGTCAGTTAGTCAGTCAGGCAGGCAGTCAGTCAGCTAGGCAGGCAGGCAAGCAAGCAGATTATCAAGGAAGCTAAGCCAGCAAGCTGAAGTATATAATAGATGTATATGTTTTTTTTGCGAATTCCCCGCACAATTATCTCTCGACCAGCAACAACAACCACAACAGCTACCAACCAACTACAACAACAACAAGCAGTGCAGAAGTGCCACTAAAAAAAAAGCGAAGAAAAATTTAAAAGAGCACCATAAAAAGAAACATCTATTTAATTCTAGTCAAAAAATTCAACAAAAAAGAAGAAAAAAATAAGAAAAAGTAAAGAAAAGAAAATTCGCCAACCACATTTTTTTTAACGTGTTTCAACCTTGTGTGTGAGCAACAACAACCACAACCACAAAAACAACAACAACATAAACACCAACAGCAGCTGAAGCGACAACAACAGCAACAACAACAACGACCAAGACAAACGGCAAAGGAAAAGGCAGGACCGACGACGCCAGAGCCATCATACTCAGATCCTTAGCCATGGGCTGCTGGCAGCGTGCGTGAATTGTGGGAAAACGTAATATTCTCTTGCATTGCATTATATGTTAAATGTGACATACACGTACGTATGTATGTATGTAGTTATGTATATATATATATATGTGTATATATGTGTGTATATATGTGTGTGCCTGTTCATACGTGTCTGTGTGCATTTTGTTATCTTTTTTTAAATGTTACTTGAAGTGAAGCTCGCGCTAAGCGGCTAACAAAAAATACAGAAAAAGTATACAATTGAAATGAGAACATGAAACAATTGAAAGCTACAGAATTATGCAAAGTGTGTGCACATGTGTGTGTGTGTGTGTGTGTGTGGTGTGTGTGTTGCTGTTTGTGTGTGTCATGCATTCTAGTCTTGTTGCCTGCCCTTTGTGTTAATGTTAATCCAATTTGTGTGGCACACACATCGAGCAACCTTCCTTGAAATCAAGTCAAGGCAACAAAGACAAACCCGCACACAAGCAAACAACCCACCCACCCGCACACACACACACACACACACACTGTGTGTTTGTGCAAATTAGTTGACAAATTATGCAAAACTAACAGAAGCCAACAACTAATTGTCAGCCTACATCATTTTATTTATATAACAAAACGAAACAAAATTGTCACACGCGTTTGTTCAGAGCCCGAACTGGAACTGGGACTCGATTTCAAGTCCGAGCCCAAGCCCGAGCCCGAGTCCTCCTCATTCCGCTGCTAATGAAGTTGTGCGACTGTTGGAGGAAAAAAAAAAAAGAAACATAAAATTACTCAATCGCCTCTGCTTTTGTACTCGCATTGGTGTTTGGCAGCGTTTCACCCTGCGGCCAGCTCTTCGGGCTACTTATTGTGCTGGTCGTTCACCTCCTCTCTCCTTCTTCTCCTTCAGTCCGTTATTCTGTGCCTGCTCCTTCTTCTCTCTCCTCTGCACACTGTCTGCGGCTTGTTATTCTTGCTATTGACTGCGTCGCCGTTCCGCTTCGAGGTGGCCGAGATTTTGGCTATTTCTGTCTGTAAGTGTATGGCCGGAAATATTTCTACATCTACACAACACACTCACACATAGGAATTGATCATATAGCATTGATATGACCGGTTCTGGATACAAATACAAACATTAAATATACACTCACACTACCTATTTGTTTTTTAAGAAATTTCGTTCAAGAATCTTGGCCCAAAAATTCGTTCTCGGCAAGAGTTTCTGTAGAAAAGCAATGTAAACTAAAGCATCCCTA